GAGATAAGAGAGGTCTGTTGCGCCATGTGGGTCAGCCCTCTGACTGGGGATCTAACTCATGCTGCAGTAGCTGGCAATATAGCTTGATAGTGCTGAGACTTAACCCCTGTGCCACCAGGGAGGCCCTGGTTTCCCTTTTTTTTCTTCATAAAAGAAACCTATCTTGGAGAGAGAGATCTTAAAAAAATGAAAAAATGTTAATTGATATGTTGACATCAGCAATTTCTGAGTAGTGATTTTTATTATTCTTCATACCTTTATTCAGAGCCTACGTTTTGCAGTTTTTGTTAACAAAAAGCACTTTTCAGTTTCAGATAAGGTGTTTCTTAATATAGGTTCTAAATTTCTTCATATAAAATATGCATGTTACAAATGATTCTTTTCATGTGTGTGCTTTGGTTTCAAAAGCACAAGTAGCATTGCTTCAGTCCAGCGATGACTTTAACACACATTGATGTCAGCACGAACAGCTTTGGTCAAATGAGAGGATTAGAACAGGTACTAATACTTTCCGAATATTCTTATACTAAGAAATATATTTTTGAATAGTATTTTAAATAATACTATTTAAACATTATTTTGAAATATTCAAATATTTAATATTTATAAACAGTTTAATAAACCTGTAATTAAAATTATAAATTTATAATACTAAAACATATTAAACATTTTAATGTATTTATAAGTAGAATATTTTGTAAATATTCGATGTATAAAATAAATATATTTAAATATTTTCTAGATAGCAGGCATTAATATTTCCTAATAATTTCCACACTAACTTTACATAGTAAACAATCTCTTTAAATAAATGAATACTATCTGCTGGACTTTTAAAATATACATTTTTCTATCAGCTATGCCTGACAGGGTATTAGCTGGGAAGGGAAAAGCCTTATTGGAAGCAGATCTAGTACCCTGGATGGCCACAGCCTCCGAGTGGGTAATGCGCCTGGTGGTGAAGGGGCCGATGCCCTCTGCTCTGTTCTGTTCCTTCCTGACTATGTGATGTTGGGTCAGCTACTGAACATTTCTCTTAGTTTCCTCTGGTTAAATGGAGATAGTAAGACCAGTCCCCTCACAAGCAATTGTGAGGATGAATTCAACTAATTCATGCAAGTAAATGTGCTCCGAGGATGCCTAATACAGGGTAAACATTCCATTTAGCGTGTGCAACTGTGTTTTATGTGATCTCTAGCCCAAGCTAAGGCCAGCCTGCAAAGATCATAGTTAGCTGGGAAAGCCAGAATTCCAGTAGCTGTCTTTTGACCCTACCACCCATGTTCTAGAAGAAAAAACATATTTACTGCAGTTGTGGAAAGAGTGATACCAGTAGGAGGAGTATAGGGAAACTTAACGTAGGGTCAAAAAAGAAAAAAAGGCAAAACTTGTAGGCACCTATACATCTGAGGCTTAAAGTAGGGAGGGGGAGGAAAAGGGGTCAAAGCAGCGGTGGGAAGAATACAAGGGACCACAGTGATGGTTCTCGGGTGATGTGGTGATGGGATATTTATAGGAGTACACCTGAGAGAATCAGAACTGTACAAATATGAGCAACAATGTAAAAAAATTAATAAAAGTAGAAAAAAGAGGGGGTGACGGAAAGAAGAAAAGAAGAGATAGAGGGAAGGAACATGGACAGTGGGATTGCAAAATTACAAAAAAGGGAAAGGGCAAAGGAAAATAAATGAAGAGTGGTGAGAAATAAGAAAAAGAAAATCCCAAAAGAAGAGGTAATGGGACGCGAGAGAGGAACTGGAGGAGAGTTGGGGAGAAAGGGGCGCGGAAGCTTGGGTGGCACTTCAAACCCCGTTGCCCTCCCAGATCAGATCGCATGAGCCTGGCTGGCTGGATTCCTGGCCTGCTTCTCCCCTGTGACTCTCCAGCATCACCCTCCAGTTTCTTAGCTTCCCCATCACTCATCCCCACCCCAGGACACTCACAGGCCAGAGTGTGGCTTTGGAAATGAATTGTACCCAACTCCCACCTATCTTTCTAGACATACCTTCAAGTGGTCGTCAGCCTCTACCATTTCACTCTATTTTTAAATGTGAGGAAATAGGCCTTTCCCTCCCCATCAACAAATCACAGCCATTTTATTCATACATGTTGTATTTTTTTTTTAATATTTTGACACTTAGTAGAACACACCAGTTCTCTATTTCAATAGTAAATTGAAAAACTAATTTAATTTTTATATGACTGGTATTTAATTTTTCAGTAACAATGATCATTTTAATTTATTAAATTGATGTTTCATTTTACATTAAGGTGATACTATAGCTATTTCTATCTAGTGTCTTATTACTAGTAAAAATATAATTGTTGGAATTTCTGTCTCTTATCATTAATATAATACTAATATCAGTATGTGTTTGTGTATATATGTATACATACACACTTATATAATTATCTTAATCACTAATAGTGAATTTAATTTAGACACTAGCATTTCCTTTTACTCTTGTGTGAACTTCCAAATTTTATTCATGTATTGCTTATTTCGAACATGATTTCTTCCAATTCTTTTGTCCTTGCTTTACCTACCTTACCCTTCTTATTTCCCCAAGACTGTTGAACCCTGAAACTAGATATTGATATTATAATAACAAAACATAGCACAGTTAAACATTATACAAGCCAGAGTTCCTGGTAATATTGTGGATTCACATATGGTGCCAGAGATCAGATTTACAAATGTACAGGAGCGGATAACCTCAGGTAGATAAGCTAGAATTGACAATAGGAAGTGCTAGAAATAATCTCTGAGAAGTTATTTATTTTAACCTAGTGACTTATTTTTAATTTTTACTCATCAACAGTATAGATTCTGCTGTCCTGGGAAAGAATCACACACTAACAAAATGACATTAAATCAACTTTCATCATATTCATGAAAAGGGCACCAATTCTGCACGTCTTTCAGTATGTGTTGTGAACTTGTCACATGCCCCCCCATGGAGTGTGACTGTCAGTGAGTAGTGGGAAGGTCTGTTACCGAAACAGGGTCTCAGGCAATGAGTGATGTATGGAATCCTTCTTCAGAAAATGGATTTAGGCTCCACTACGTAAGTAATCCCAGATGGATTAACTGAAGATTCAGAAAAGTGTCCATTCATTCATAGATAATGCATTAGGTGACTGATGATTGGGATGCAGTCTCAATAAAAAAACTATAATTTTATAACAAAACAATAATCTCTAATGCTTTTCTTTACTTCTGCAATTTCAGATATGGGAGTGCTTGTCATGGTTTCATTAATAAATGTGTGCAATAGTCTAGATCCAAGTCTATTAAGATGTGAAATGTGCCCCTACAGAACATATAGTTTAATAGGGCAGACAGATTATTAGACAGCTAAGAATAACAGAATGTATTAAGTAATATAAAACACGCATAATAAAGAGCTGGAGAAATGAAAATGAGGGGACTATTTTATTGCTTTGAGGTTTGTTACTGAAAACGGTCTCAGGATGAAAGGATAGATATATATTGTTTTAGCTGGCAGGCATGGAAAGGCATTTCCCATGGAAATGGGAAATGTAGGATGGGAGTACATGGGCGAAGGTAGGATGGGAACAGAGTTCAGGGCACATTCCAGAACAGAGTAGTGGGGAGGGTTAGCACTGATTGGAGCAGCTAAGAGTGGCCAGGGATGAAACTGGAAAGGTGGGGTAGGCCAAAGTGTTGAGAGGAGAGGAAGTAGAAGTAGTGGAGTGTTGAGGTTGAAATCATGGAATAGTCTTTCTGGTCTCTGCTTTGGGAAATCCTATTCATTCTTGTCAATTAATCCCTGATCCAGGAAAAATGAAACACCTTCATGCATTTCTGTTCATTCCCTTACTCACTTAGCCATTGTTACCTGGTTGGTTTAGAGCTTGTCTTTCTCCGTAGGCCATGAAGAGAGGAATTTTGTCTTACCTTTATAAGTACAGATAGATGCCAAATAAATGTTTCTTAGGTTGGGGTTAGGCTTACTCTATAGATTAATATCTCTACTGAGGGATTTTACAACTTTAAAGTAGTGCAGATTTTCTGATTCCAGATATTAACATCTATCTTCCACTTGGTTTAATTTTATTTAGTCTAAATAGCAGAAATTATTTTCTTTGATACTGAAGAACTCCTCTGGCATCATAGCTTGTTTGGCATGAATCATTTTTTTCTTAAATGTAATTTGTTTAAATTCAAAGTTCTTTGTCTAGGAAAATGAAATGTTCACATTCTGAAACTCTAAAAATAACACACTGGAGAGATGATGCCAAAACAATGGTTTCAATCAGAAATGCTTTCTGATTCCAGCATCTAAATGAGAACTAATTACTGAATCAGATCACAGTTACTAAGCATTTGTTTTAATGCAGTTAATAGCAGTATTGGGAAACCTAAGTAATAAAAGGTTTCTAAACCTCTCAGTTTTGTCCAGAATTCTAATGCATTGTAGTGATCCAATATGCAAGATTATATCTTATAGTAAAGCTTTAAAGATGATTATCATTCTCTTAGTGGAAAGGTAGGTTTCCCCAAATCACATCTCATTGACTATGCATTGTTTTAGTTAGGATTAATTTAGAAAGTCTTCTTTTGCTACAGAATTACAAAATTTGCTCAAAATTTGCTTAGGTAGTTCCCACCCTGTGAATTTCTACAGAGAAGTACAAGGTTGAATAAATCTGTTAAAAAGTCTTATTTCTGTAAAAGTGTTTAAGTTTGGGAAGCAGATGTGGGGGGAGGAAGCTCCATTGGACAGTCCTTGTTGATCTGTCTAGTGAGGCTTAGCAGTATTAATTCCAGAAGCATTTTGATTTTGCTAGATCTTTTCTTCTTAGTTAGACATATTTGCTATTTATTTCATATATAAAATATAAGGCATTTAATATAACTCAGCATTGCATCAGCATATGCCACACTCCATTTAGTAACTTAATAATAAACTTTGGAGGTCATTTAAATTCTAGATGTAAACTGTTCAATAATTTAATACTTATTTTCTCAACAGATGTGAATTATTAAAAAGAAAATGGCCCGACGGAGCACTGTATTTCCTTCTCTTGTCACCAAGGAAAGGTATAATATATGGAAAATATGCATCTAAGGTATACTTTTCCTTTCCACCAATCCCATGAGCATGTGGTTGTTACATTATCCAAGAGTGATTTTGTTCAAGGGCAACAAAAAAACTGTTGTGTCCCTTTTCCAGCTTCTAATTTGTAGGATAAGGTGACCATTTGGTGAAATTGGGTATCCATGGGCCAAAATTGATTCATGGAAGTACATTGTTTGGCCTGTGTCATCTTAAATGCTATTTAAATGAATTGACATTTACAAATCAGGTTGGTTTCACTCCCAAGTCTGGATTTCCTAGTTCTTCTGGAAAGAGCAGATGATCTGAAAAAATGGACCTGCATTCCCAAATAGTCACTCGTGGGCAGAGCAGAATTGTGGCTCCCTTTAATTGAAGAACACTCTTTCTAGTTTTTTGAGGTCCCTACCAGTCCCCACTGCACTGTAAGTACTGTGCTTCACGCCTTTTTGTCAGATGCCTGAATGTGTAGACACTTGAGCTTGTAACCACTGCTCTAAGAGGAGGGCATGTCAGGAGATTTTGGTATTTGCCTGTCCTTGACAGTGCAGCTGCTAGTGAGGAATCTCCATGTGCCCTATTTTGTCCGCTTTTTGGTTTGGGTCCCTGTTACTAGCACACTTAACTTTGTGGGTGTGATTGTGTAAAGATGCCACCTGGCTCACGAGGAAAGCTCCTTTGAATAGCCACTCTGCCTCAAACCCCACGTAGCTTGCTGGAGTAGATGACATGCATTTTCTTCTCTGCAAAGTCTTGAATTTGGCCTTTAAAAATTATTTCCTTCCCATTAACAGCCCTTGTACTGTGGCTGTCTTTTGTAGGCGAGTTAGAACCATGCCCCGACACAGCCAGTCCCTGACTATGGCTCCCTACTCATCTGTAAGCCTGGTGGAGCAATTAGAAGACAGGATTCTTTGCCACGAGAAAACCACCGCTGCGCTGGTGGAACACGCCTTCCGAATTAAAGACGACATCGTCAGCAGTCTGCAGAAAATGCAAAACAAGGGGGGTGGTGACCGCTTGGCCAGGCTTTTCCTGGAGGAGCATATCAGAAACATAACTGCCATAGTGAAGCAACTTAATCGGGATATCGAGGTAAGGTGTGGGAAAAGCCCTGAGCTGTGTTTCTTTCCAGACTTGCTCAACGTCAGGGGTCAGCCAGCTCAGAGTCCTTCTCCCAGGCAGTCATGCGCTCAGATCACAGCTGTCTGTCTTGTCTCTTCTCAGTGATCACCAAGAAAACAGCTTGAAAAAATAGCTCAGTTAAAGTTATTGCTATTGGTGTTACCTGTGTTCTAAATTTACTTTACTGATTATTAGATCAGATTGTTTCACTTGGCTCTCAATGAAGACAAAGAAGAACAATTCACATAATTTCCCTGTAAAATCCTTTATATCAATTACTAGGTCAATCTTTGCTGCTCAGATTAAATGTTTCTAGGTCATAATGATCATATGTAATTTGATTTTTTTCCCCAAGTAATATAGTTTATTACTCAAGTAATCTGGAGATTGGAATTGCTTCTTAGACTCCCCTTTTATTGCTTTATTTTATTGCTTTATTTTTATTTCAGACAAAAGGCCAATTTTGTCTGATTTTATGTTGGCTGCTATTTGTTGAGGAGTCACAGGAGCCACGCAATTTACTTTAGAAAACTTAAGCTCATTTAGAGCCTAGGCTTCCAATACTGAACAATGACAATATTCTTCATATATAATTTTTAAATATATGAATAAATGACATGATTAGATTAATACAGGGAGATTATATCTTAATTATGCTCCCTGAAACAAAGTTTCTTTTTTTAATGTCAGATTTGTTATTTATATTTTAATAGCTTTAATTGAGGTATAATTTAGAAGTTGCAAAAATTAATCCATTGTATGTGTACAGTTCAATGACAGTGAATTTGTACAATTATTCACACAATTTAGTTATAGAACATTTTCATCACCGGCCCTCTGCCTCCAAATTTATAAGCTTGTTTGCAATCTCTACTTCTTTCCAGCTCCAGACAATTACTAATTTGCTTGCAGTCTCTATAAATATGTCTTATCTGGACATTTCATGTAAATGGAATCATGGAATCTTAACATTGTGAAGTCTTTAGCGCTTAACTTTTTTCTTAGATTCAGCTATGTTCTAGCATGTATGGGTAGTTCTGGTTTGTGTCAGAGTAGTATACTATTCTATTGATATATATATAAGATATAAGCTTGATATAGCTTATCCTGGCTACCTGTTCATTATTTGATGGGCTTTTAGATTGTTTCTAGATTTTAGCTATTATGAATAAAGCTGCTATAAGCCCTGTGTACAAGTCTTTGAATGGAGATATATTTTCATTTCTCTGGAGTTAAATCACTAGGAGTGGAAATGCTGGATCTTAAAATAAACTTACGTTTAACTTTTGAAAACAGAGCTAAACAATTTTCCAAAATGTCCTCCCAGGGCCTCCCTGGTGGCCTAAGGGTTAAGTTTCAGCATTATCACTGCCATGGCCTGAAATTGAACCCTGGCAGGGGAGCTAAATGCACACGTGGTACAGCAGGCCTCTCTTCTCCTGCCCGCTGCTCCCCTCAGCAGTGTATTTCAGTCCATCTGCCTTTTTTGCTCCTCACTCTGTCTCTGGTGAGTCCTCTCACCCCCTGAACCCCAGTTCTTTTATACAAAAATAAGTGAAATAAATATAATGATCAGTCTAACTTAAAAACAAAGGCCTGACTATTCCCATACCAGTCACATCAGCAGTATATGAGGCTTCTCGCTTCTCTACATCCTTACCAACACTTGATATTATCTGTTTATTTTCTTACTGTAGTGATATATAGTAAGGCCAGACTGTGCACCTTTTCATCTGTTTATTGGTCATTTCTGTCTTCTTTGGTGAAATGTCTACTCAATCTTCTGCCTATTTTCTAAAAATTATTTTTTAATTGTGGTAAGGTATTTATTATTTTAACTCATTTTAAGTCTATTTCAGTGACATTAAGTACATTCTCTATGTCATTCGTAACAACTATCCATTTCCAAATCTTTCCAAGTCTGTTTCAACCAAAACAGAAACTCTGTTCCCATTAAACTCCCTATTCACACTCCTCTCCCATCCTGACAACTTTTAGTCTACCTTTTTAAAAAGCTTTATTTTAATTTATACACACAAGAACTAGGGTGTAGGCCAGAGCAGTGAGAGGATTCACCCCAGACACAGTGGGAAGCAAAACAGATGGATCCAATGAAACGCAGTGCTGAGGGAAGCAGCAGGTGAGACAGGAGAGGTCTGCTGTGCCATGTGGGCCAGCTCCCCAGCTGGGGATTGAACTCATGCCATAGTGGCGGCTGATAGCCTGATAGTGCTGAGACTTTTAATTACTGAACCACAAGGGAGGCCTAGTCTACTTTCTTCTCCATGAATTTGCTTATTTAAATTCATCCCACATAGAAATATGTGGTATCTGTCCTTTTGTGTTTGGGTTATTTCTTTTAGCATGAAGTATTCAAAGTTCATCTATGTTGCAGTATGTGCCACAAATCTGTTTTTCAATTGTATTATGCATCTTCTTATTGAGTTGTAAAAGTTCTTTATATAGCCAAGGTACAAGACCTCTATCAGATGTAAAGATATCAAATATTTTCTCCCTTTCTGTGTCTTATATTTCCATTTTCTTAATGGTATCATTTGAAGAAAACATTTGGTGAATTATAGAAAAATCCAATTTAACAGTTTTTTCTTTTATGATTTATATTTTGGTGTTGTGTCTGAGAAACTCTTTGCTTAATATAAGGTCACAAAGATTTTTCTCCAATGTTTTCTTCAAGTGTTTGGTTTTGTTTCTTCATTTAGATCTGTGATCCATTTTGAGTTAATTTTCATGTATGAGGAGAGGTGAAGGTCTAAGTTAATTGTTTTTCTTATGACTATCCAAGGAAAATCTATCATTTTCTCATCTTTCCTTTTGTCAAAAAAAAAAAAAAATCAATTGGCCATAAAGTAAAAGGGTTTATTTTTGGATCCTATTGAGCTGTATGTTTTTTTTGTGCCAATATCATAGTGCTTTAACTTCTAGCTTCAGAGCAGTATAAATCTTTAACTTTAAATCAGGCAGTATAAATCTTTCAACTTTGTTTTTCTGTTCTAAGTCCTTTTGGTTATTCTAACACCTTTGCATTTTTATGTAAATTTTAGGATTAGTTTGTTAGTTTTTCTATAGAAAGGCTCCCTGAAATTTTGAGAGATTGCTTTGAATGTACAGATTAATTTAGGGAGAACTACTATCTCAACAATACTGAGTCTTCAGTTGTGCAAAACAACCCACCCCTTGTTTTATTATTTTTTTCCACTGTTTATACCTAAGTGAGATCTCAGTATCTCATTTACCACATAGTTACCAACATTTACTGTTCTTTGAGATTCTCACATATTTTTCATTCACAATTGTACTCTAATAAAGTACATTTTTCTTCAGGGTTCTAAAATGACAGGCTCACACTTCCTGTGGTGTATAGGGCAGGACTACGTGCTGTTAAAGGGAGGTATCACGTCTTCATTTCTTTGGTGACTGATGGCATCTGTTCCAATTTCTTTTTGTCACATCAAATTGAGTTTCTTTTGGGGTTTACCTTTCTTTATCCAGACTGGCTGACTGTTACTCAGGGCGCTCTGTCACCTTTTTAATTCGAGAGGATTGCAGCCCCTAATGCAGGCCCTGGTATGGAGATTCCAGCTTTCTGAAGCCTGACACCTAAGTGGAGGGTCTAAGGACTGGAAAAGGCTGGAGCCCCTTCCTTACTGGCTGGATCCTGGCCATGGGTGGTTCCTGCTCCCTTGGTCCTAGGAAATACCATTTGTGACTATGTGTACCTCTCTTTTTCCAGTAGAGTTCATTTTCCTCCTTAGTGAGCCAGGGTCAAGTATAATTGCTTGCAACCAAAGACTTGTGATGACATCAGAGAGGGCTTAGAAAGTACAAGAGCTTGTCATGGACAATTTACTTGGTTTTGGAGGGTGGTGTTTATATTTAGAATGATCTTTCCAGTTTTATATTTGAGTGCTAAAGCAGTTTTATTCCAGAAGCTGAATGATTTCACAATCCCAATTTGGCCACTTCACAAACTGAAGAACCCTACTTAAATATTTCAATTTAGCAAAGAGTTAGAGATCCTCTGGGGGGAATGATAGTCCTGTAATATCCAAGTCTAGAGAGGGAGATGGATAAAGTTGAAGTGATTGGGTATAAGACATGATTCTCAGGTCACTAACCTGTCAACTAACAGCAAAAGAAGTGCTGTTAAAAGTTAAAAAGTTGGGCCCTCCCTGGTGGCGCAGCGGGTTAAAGCACAGCACTAAGAAGCTTAAACCACTTCCGCATGAGTTCGATTCCCGCCTGCCCTGGAGGAGATCCACATGGCGCGGCAGACCTCTCCTGACCCGCCCGCTGCTCCCCTCAGCAGTGTACTTCGTTGATCTGCCTGTTTTTCTCCCCACTCTGTCTCTGGTGAATCCTCTCACCCTCCGCATCTCTGGCCTGTACCCCAGTTCTGTATGAATAAATAAATAAATCTTAAAAAAAAAAGTTAAAAAGCATAGACACCTTATGTCTCATGCTGGAAAAGAGTCTGATCTCCCCATTCTTCCCAACCCCAACTTTTCCCTTGTGTGTATTCAGCTGGTTCCATGGTGGGAAAACTAGAAGCCAATCTATTTTCGCCTTATTGTCCTCAGGTAAAAGCGGAGACTATGCCTGTACCTTGGAAAATCCTGGACTTAATTTTTTTTCTCTGGTCAATGTAATAGTTGATTGTGCTTTTGCTGCAATTGTGGATCTAAGGAATAATTTCCCCTTTGGTTACTGCTCTGTACTAGTCCCACAGTCAGAACCATTTAATATATTTAATTTCTAACCTTAGCAGAATGTCTGATGCTATTTAATAGTTCCTTCATTCCAGGGAGTCCTTCCTGCCAATTTCTCTGCTGTCCTAATTCTCTTCCCCTTACTGTATCCTAGGCATCCAGTACTTGCCGCTGTGACCATAGAATTCATTGTGTAGGATTGACATTGTTTCTTTACATATTGTCTCTCCCCTCTGCTAGTGA